TCAGGTAAAGGGTAGAAGTTAAAGAACTTAATTTTGCCTCAAAAGCCATGTGGCCCACAGGAGAGTTTTCCCACAGTTTTTGGAAATGAGAAATGGAATGTTCCCGGGCCACGCTCGGGTGCCTCAGGTGGCTGGAGAGAGTGTACGGGGCAGGGGGTGGGGGGGCCCTGTCCCCTGGCTGGGCCATCTATCACCAGTCGACTGTGACCCCAGGAGCCAGCTGGGCACGTTTCCTTCACCCCACCCCACAGACTGGGCACGTTGTGACCAGCTGAGCACTGACCCCCATCCACTTCCCTGGGGGAGGCGCTGCAAGCGTGAGGAGCAGAGTGTTTGAGGTCCGGCCTTCCCGCCAGGGCCTCCGAGACCCTTAAAGCCCCCTCAGAGATAACCTGGAAGTTGTTTTTACTGACTGAAGGCCCAGGCCCCAGCCTGGCTGCTTGAACTCCAGGGCCCCGTCTGACCACTCCATCCTCTTTCCCTGAGGCACAGTTCAAGAGGTCCCCGACCATCACCCCCCCAGGGCAGAACCTTTTCCCTGGGCTTCACTTTTCTCCCAAAGGAGGGAAAAGCCCAGGAGTGGCTGGAGGGCCACAGGGGGTAGGAGATGGCCCCGCTGCGTGAGCAGTGAAAGGGTTTGCAGTTAAGGTTAAGATGGTACCTGCTAGTGCCGGCGCTCCTCTCTCCCCATGGTCTGCCCTGGCGTTTCTCCTTTGTTATGTCAGTATTGACTGTGGAGTGCTGGGAGTAATGCTGGTTTCTTGGGGATGAACCAAGAAACTGGCACTCGGCGGCTGAATTCCGTTTCATAGACTAAAGGGGAAGCTCCAAGCTCCAAGCCCGCTGAGTGCAATCTCACAAGGCCAGAAAGGCTCTTGAAAGTAGACGGAGCCTGGAAGCTGGAATAACATGAGCACCCCAGGGCCTCTTCCAGGCCCCCAGCCCCCTCCTCTGCCTCGAGCCTCTGTCTGCTGTGCCAGTTCAGCAGCACATGCCCACCCCAGGGAGGCAGCCAGGTTACCTTGTAGGAGACTGGTGTTTCTTCAGCCTGGCCCTGACTGGGCAGTGTGGGAACCTTAGAAAGGCTGAGAAAGTCAGCTTTGGGTCCCAGAATGCATGTGTGGGGGTGAGGAGAGATCAGGCCTCTGGTGGTGGTGATGATGATGATGATTTTTTTAATTATTGATTTTAGAGAGAGAGAAGGAGGGAGAGAGAGAAAAAAAACCACATCAATTTGTTATTCCACTTATTTATGCATTCATTGGTTGTTTCTTGTATGTGCCCTGACCTGGGACTGAACCCGAAACCTTGGCGTATCGGGACGACACTCAACCAACTGAGCCACCCGGCCAGGGCTGGTGAGGATTATTCTTGTAATTCCTGGGAAGTGTTGGCCGTGAAGGACATGTTGGCCATGCTCTCCAGGGAGCAAGGCTAGGAGAGTGGACAGCCAGACTGGCTGGGGACAGAAAAGCAACTTGGGCCTGGTCAGTGGGTTAGATGGGACACCTACCTGTCCCATGGGGTGCTGTCACCCAAGCTGCCAAGCTGTTTGTCCCTAGCTTGGGTGACCCAGGGCAGAATCCTGCCAGACCATTTGTCCCAGAAAGAGAGCTGGTGGGGGCAGGCCCTCCCAGGAGCAAAGTGTGGGCTTTGTTGATATCAGGGTTCTTTTTAATGCTGATCACTTCCAACAAGTCTGGTGTGGAGTCCCACAGGATGCCCAGCCCTGCGCTGGACTGGAGGGTGGGAAGCGCTACGAGGCTAGTGTGAGGCTGAGTGCACAGTTTCAACTTCACTATGGACACGGTATGAAAAGTGGTTGGGGAACAGGGAAAAGATACTGCCTGAGAGAAAGACTTGGCGTCCACAGAATGGAAACACCAGGCCAAGAGACAGACCCATTGTTTCCAGGGCTTTGGCCTCTGCCAGTTGGCTGGCACTGGCTTCCTTTCAGGCACTGCTAGCTGACCTGGAGGTTGGGGCTGGAGGAGACGGGCACAGGACCCCCTGCCCTTGCTGATAAGGGTGTCATGCTGCCTAACATCAACCTGGGCTGTATTGACACACCGGGCTCCCCCCACCCCATTCAGAGCCGAGTGAGCCCCTGGCCTGAGGCCTTAGAGCAGGACCTGGCACTCTGTCCAATAATTGGCCCTGTAGCTTAAAAAAAAAAATTTTTTATCCCCACCTGAGGATATGCCTGTTGATTTTATTATTTTTTTAATTTTTATTGATTTCAGAGAGAGGGAGGGAGAGGGAGAGAGAGAGAAACATCAATGATGAGAGAGTCATTGATTGGCTGCCTCCTGCACACCCTCACTGGGGATCGAGCCCGCAACCCTGGCATGTGCCAACCGGGAATTGAATCATGATCTGGTTCAGTTTGATGCTCAACCACTGAGCCACGCCCGGCCGGGCTGCTTATTGATTTTAGAGAGAGGACATGGGGTACCGAGAGAGAGAAAAAGAAAGAGAAACATTAACGTGAGAGAGAACATCCATTGGTTGCCTTTCATATGTTCCCCAACTGGGGATCAAGCCCGCGACCTAGTAGTTTTTAATGCAAGAGAGACAGGAGTTGCTAAAGGTGAGGGAGGGGAAGGCCCTTGGGTGGGAGGCTGCTCTAGGCCTGTGCCCTCAATGTCATGCAGGTGGAGACAAGTTGGGCCAACAGAAGGGGAACCCGCAAACCCCCTGCGGGAGTGAGGAGAGGGCCAGGCTGGTTTGGCCTTGCCACACTCCACAGCTGTGGGCGGGCAATGAATAGCCACAGTGGCCACCGCCTTGCCGGAAACATCTAATTAGGGGACAGAGGTGCACAAGCAGGGCCCAACCAGTTCTGCTTCCTGTCTCCTGCCACTCAGTGACACCCAGTGACAGGAGCGGCACACCGATCAGCACTCCCTGTGCGTGCGGCAGCATCAGGGACACGCTTGTGGGGGTGGTGGGAAGACAGGTTTGGTGGGGTGGTTGGCATGAGGCAAACATCCCCACCCTGGCAGCCAGGAGGCTGCCCCTCACTGGGGGTAGAGGAGGCACAAGGGCCAGGCCAGGGAGGCTCCCACTGTCCCCAGTTCCTTAGCACCATCATTTCAAGGTTTCTGGAACGGGAGAGGCAGGCACAGGGTCTCCGCCCAAACTGACCTGGATCCTTAGAACCGGAACCATAAACCCCTCACCTGCTGGAGCAGGGCAACCGGGAGTCACGGCCAGTTAACCCTCACCTGCTGTCCCTCCTCCCTCTGCCGCTCCACGCGCAGGTGTGGCCTGGCTGGCTCCCACTCGGGAGCCTCATCACGCTCTCATACCGAAAGACAGGAGAGGGTAGAGGTTCCTGTTTGTCTCTACCTGGATTGAGAAATGGAAATTGTCATTCAGCTTTGAGTCCTTGGCCAAGTTCTCCAATAGCTGCTAAGCTGCCAACACTCGGGCACGCCCGTGCTCCCCCCATTCCACGCACAGACAACTGCCACTGCAGCAAGACAGGGACCCCAAGAGCTCCGGCCTGCTGTCCGGCCTGCCAGGGCTTGGGGAGGCGCCACGCCATCTCAGAGGCCAGGTCAGGGCCAGGCGCTGGTGAATCAACTCCCAGAATGAGGTGGCTTATTAAAGTCCCCTGGACAGACGGACGCCAGTGCCAGCAGAACGGGTTTTGGGCGGCGGGCCGGCGCATTCTTCCCCTGTCAGACCTTTGTTGTGTTTTGAGGGGGCGAGAGCTGGGGCCTCTCCCGAAACTTCGGTGCTCTCATATTCGCCCTCCATTAGTGCGTTCTTCTGCCTTCCCCCTTGTCCATCTGTCCCCCGGGCCTCTTCGCACTGTCCTGGCAGAGGAGGTGCGGGCGGCTGCCCTCCCGCCCCGGGGCCTGGTCCACTGTGTCTCACCAGCTGTGGGCCACAGGGCACAGAGGGCCTTGCCGTGGGTCTGACACCCCAACTCAGCCCTCTAAGTCCCTCTCCCTGAAGCTCACTCTTCCTTTCATTCTTGGCCCCTTTTGATTTTCCTTCTGAGGCTCGGAAAATGTTCCTGGCTTATGGGCTTTAAATACAGAGCTTTGCCTTTTTGGAAGAAGATTCTTGACTAAGCTGAAACATTAGGTGGTTTGCCCCCGTCAGTTCTGAGGCTTGTTCCCTCCGGGCCACACTCCGGGCTCTTCCTCCTTGGCCAAGCCTCCCTGGCCCCGTTTAGTGTGAGGTGTCTGCCGTGGGGAGCGGTCACGTCGAGGCTGCCAGGTATCGGTGCCGAGGAGGGCGGGGGCCCAGCCCTCACTGTGCCCCAGCGAGCGGTCCCTGCTGTGGGGGAGGGTTGCGTAACAGCTGGGCAGGCGGCCCAGGAGACTGTTACGCAGCATCCACCTGTTGCCTGCTGACCTCCTCCCTGCCCCACCCCACCTGCCTGTTTGCCTGCCAAGCGGGGCCAGCGGGAGTGGGGAGCCTGGAGCCCAATGGGCTGCGACAGCAGGGACTGGCCAGTCTGGAGGAGGAAGGGGCTAGGAGCGCCCAGTCCCCCAAGGCCAGCAGCTAAATCCGCCTGGAGGAGAGGCCCCGAGTGTCCCGGGCCACCAGGTACCCTTCTCGCGCAGGGATGAGTCCTTCGGCGCAGGGCCTCCAGTGGTGCCCTTTGTCCCTGCGGGAGCATGGATGAGGCCTGGAATCCAGAGAGACTGGCCCAGGTGGGGCAGGCAGACAACTCTGGAGGGATAATTGGCAAGGCAGGTTTGGCCCTCCCAGTTCCGCTAAGACACAGATTACTCAGCGGGCAGGCCTGTGGGTCGAGGCGCTTGGCTGGCGTCACCTGTAATTACCTTAATGGGGCAGGAGGGAGGTGCAGTGTGTAGTGGGCTGGGGTAGCCCTGCTCTGCCACATGCCTGCAAGGGGCGGGCTGGAGGCTCCAGGTTCCAACCAGCTCATTGCCAGGGAACCTTCCTGAAATCCCACTGAATCCTCTTTTCCCCACCAAGCCCCTCACCTGGCCGTTCTTCTCTCTGCAGTGAGCCTGGGCTTCTGTCCACCACAGCCCTGCCCGGAGCCGGAGCCATCAGTGGCTGAACCCCCTTCTTGCCCCCTGGCTTTGGACATGAGCCTTCGGGACTCCAGCTACAGTGTGGCCTCTGGACCTTGTGTGGTGGCCCAGCTGCCCTCTGAAGACATGGGCCATTTGGCAGACCCCCAGAGCAGAGACCATGGCTTCTTGCGCACCAAGATGAAGGTACTGACCCTCACACTGCCTCCGAGGAACAGCCCAATGTGGCACCAATGAGACCTAAGTAGAGACTGGCCTGGGATCTGGGTCCAGGTTTCTGCAGAGGTGAACCTCACTGGGGCATAGACAGGGCTGGAAAAGAAGAAAAGTGGGTCTAAAGTGAGAATGTCATGCATTGGGAAGCAGTGGGGTGCAAAAGACATTTAACTCTGGAGTCCATTCTGGGGGTTTAGTTTCATTTCTGGCCTTAGGGGGAGCCACCTCTTTACACTAAAGTCCTAGGAAAATCAGGGAGACATGAGGCTCGCTCAGCACCTTCTCCTAGGCCCCCCGTCTGGGCAAGTGAGATCTGGAGCCTGCTCGGTGGTTGACTGTCCGCTGAGGCATGTGCCCAAGTGTGCCACTTCTGGCAGCACTCAGAGCCTTGCACCTAGGGCAGGCCTGGTGGGCGTCTCGCTGTGCTCAGCAGTGGAAGCAGTAAGTTGTGCACCAGGCAACGGAAATGCCCCTGCTTTCGAGGAGCATGCCACCAGCAGGGCTGTCCCTGGTTGGGCCTGTCTTCCTAAAGGCTCCAGGACTGGGAGGCACCTGCCAGCGCTGATCTAGTGGAAGGGTTCTAGAAGCGCTATCCTATGTGCCAAGAGACTGGAGAAAACTGGCAGTGGAATACTGTTCCTTCCTCTGTTTCCTGCAGAGGCCAAGTGTGTGTTGTAATGAAAGGGGAACCACCAAGACGTGTGCTGGGCTGGCCAGAGAGCTGGCACAGTCAGTGCCCCTGGTCCCCCGCACACCTGTCCTCCCTGCCTTGGGCCCTGTGGGTAGGGAGCGCGTGCAGAGAGAGCAGAGGGCACAGGAGGGCGGGTGTGCTGGACTGAGTCCTGGTCTTGACTAGCTAGCAATGGGGCATTTACCCGGTGCCAGAGCGGTGCAGGAGGAGGAGGTGCCTGGGGAGCTCAGGAGTTGCCAGTGACGACCACCCACAAAGTACAAGCAACCTCAGAGCACTGAGACCACTTCAGAATATATTTGAGAGTTTTCATAATTTAAGAAAACCACAGAACCACGAAAAATATTGATAAGCAAGAGAGTCATCAGGGTAGCAAGGGATTCAAACCATATCATGTCAGGCCTGGCTCAAGTAAAACCAGGGGGTGGGCTGGCCTGGAGGGGACCCCAGGCTCACAGTGGTGGCTTCAGCCTGGAGAGGCTGCTCGGAAGACAATGTCGTGGACATTTCCCCCATTCTAAGGCAGAGAATGAGAACAAGAGCAGAAACTACAAGGAAAGATTTGGGCTCAGTGAAGGGGAGACCTTTCTAGCAGGTAGAGTTGCTGAGGATGAACTGGGCTGTTTATCTGGGAGTTGGCTGCTATCTCCAGAAAAGAAGGGGCTGGGTGGCAACCTTTACAGGGCACTTGGGACGCCCACAGAAGGCTGACAGTTGACCCAAAGGTTCCTTCCAGCCAGTTACCGCTGACCTCTGTGAACTGATAGCACAGAGGTATGGCCTCTGGGGTGGGCAGCGCTTTCCTCAGGGGGTCTGGGGACTGGCATTTGTGTCCTGCCAATCTGCTAACCTGCAGTCTCAACTCCTGGGTATCTGTCACACAGTCTGTCCTTGCCCACAGGTGACCCTTGGGGACAGTCCCAGTGGAGACCTCTTCACCTGCCACATCTGCCAGAAGGCCTTCACCTACCAGCGCATGCTGAACCGCCACATGAAGTGCCACAACGACGTCAAGAGGCACCTCTGCACCTACTGTGGGAAGGGTTTCAATGACACCTTCGACCTCAAGAGACACGTCCGCACCCACACTGGTGAGAGGAGCCCTGTGGCTGGGTGCCTGCCTGAGGCCGCGTGGGACGCCGAGGCGAGGCCTGCTGCCTGGGGGCGGGGGGCTGGGAGGGGCGTCACGTCACTCAGGGCAGCAGTCATCCTCAGCTCATCAGTTAGGTCACTCAGGGAGTTGGAAACGGACAGGCTTCGCCCCTTCCTCTTCCCCAGAGTCAGGTGGCCTGGCCTTTCTGTGTCTGGGAAGCTGCCGTCAGGTCCCTGACACCCAGCCCTGTCCTCCTCGCAGGCGTGAGGCCCTACAAATGCAGCCTGTGTGACAAGGCCTTCACGCAGCGCTGCTCTCTGGAGTCTCATCTCAAGAAGATCCATGGCGTGCAGCAGAAGTACGCGTACAAGGAGCGGCGCGCCAAGCTGTACGTGTGCGAGGAGTGTGGCTGCACGTCCGAGAGCCAGGAGGGCCACGTCCTGCACCTGAAGGAGCACCACCCCGACAGCCCACTGCTGCGCAAGACCTCCAAGAAGGTGGCCGTGGCCCTGCAGAACACCGTCACCTCCCTGCTGCAGAACAACCACCACCTCTGAGCTGCCCGGCCCGCGCCCCCTCCTGCAGCCTCTTGCTGGAACACTGATCGGGACCGGAGCCCCAGACCCCTGTGCCCACTCGGGCCCGCACTGCCCTCTGCCCATGTTTGCGTTTCTGTATTATGGGCGGGGGCCAATCCAAGCCCGCATTATGGGCAGACGCGTGCAGGTCTGGGGCAGGGGCAGCCAGGACTGCCTTCGATTGGAAGCAACCCGCTGCAGAGACAGGACTTCCTTCCCAGAGGAGGTGTGTGAGGGTGACCCTGTGGCCGCCTCTCTGCCCCTGGAGCGCAGGGGCGGGGGCTGCTGGTCCCCCGTGGATGGCAGAGTCAGGAGCACTGGCAAAAAGCATGCTGGGAACAATGGAGGCAGCAGAGCTGCTAATGCTCAGGGCTGCCGGGGGCTCTGCCCTCCGACGGGGTGGGTGAGTGCGCACAACAGTTGATGTGTATGCTTGCATATCACCTCATTTTTTAAAATCAATGACAAGGTACCAAGGAGGTTTTATTTCCTTTTTTTTTAAAAGATGACAAATGTATAGATATTAATATATTTTTGGTGCTGATGGCGACTATTTTTAAGAGAGGACCGAGCTAGAGCTTATGTCCCTCCCCATGCAGTTCTATTTATCCTGGACATTTCACGCATCCTCTGTGCCATGGCTCTGGGGTGGCTGCCCCGACCCACCCGTGCTTCCTGCTGCCTGAGATATTTAACCTGAGTGCTTCCTCGCGCCTGCCTGGAGGATGCACTGCCCTTTCTGTTCAGCCCCTGCTACCAGGACAGCACATCACATCTGCTCTTCCCTCCCGAGGCTCTGCGTCCCTCCCACATCCTTTCTAGGCAAGCCTGGGGTGACCGAGGGCCTTCTTATCTCCTGATACCAGACCTTGCAACAGCTCACGTTGTGGAGGTGAGGCTTGTCACGCTGGGGCTTTAGGGGCACGCCTGGTGGGGTGAATCTTTGAGAGGCCCAGAGCCCGTGGCCTGAAGCACTGAGAAGAGTCCAGGGCCAGGCTGCAAGATCTGCTCTTTTCCTGGTTGAGTCAAAAACCCTAGGACAGCAGCAAAAAATTGGGACAGAATAATAACCAGACATATCAGAAACCTGTAGAGGGAGGACAGTATTAGATGGTTAATAAGTTATATTTGTAGCTTTTTTTTTCTGACTGTTTTTCAAATAGTACAGCTGGGTCTTGAGCCCCTGAGGAGAGAGCCGCCACCTCTTAGGGACTCCCTTAGCTTGGCAGGTTTCCTGCTGATAACAGGGAAGGGGTGTGGGGCAAGGGGAGAGCTGGGCCGGGGCTGGGGCCAGCCTGCGGAAGACTGAGAAGGCACTTGAACGAGGTCCCCAGGACACCGCTGGCTGGGCCTCCCGTTAAGCCGAACCCCAACCAGAGCGTGCTCAGGAAGAGCAGCGTCGGGCGGCCCAGCCCCTGGCTGAGGCAAGGAGCCTCGCTGGGTCCCTCCAAATGAAGACTCTTGTTTTCTTTAGAGTGTGTGGGAGCTGCTGTATTCTGGAAGTTCTATAGGACAAAATAACACTATCTGGAAGCCCTGTTTGTTTACATTTCTGTATCCCTGTGTTCGTTGCCATTCTGAGGGAGTCACAGGCTCTGTGTTGTCGATTTTATAACTTTCTCCCCAACTATTAAAATCAAAGAAACCCTTTTTTGTTTCTACTTTTTTGTCTTATAGGCCCCTTTTCCCACTTGCACAAAAATTAATCAAAACAATTGACACATTCTATTCAAAGCTTTACCCTTTTACCGCGACCAGTGGGCTTAGACAAATTCGGTGGCCAGGCTGCGGTCTCCGCAGTCAATCCTGTAGATCCCGGGCCGTGGCGGGGCCTCCCCTGGGGCTCTCTTCGCCTGCCTGATGCTCCCATCCTGACACACGGCTCTCCACTGGGCGGGTGCAGTCACTTGGGTCCAGTCTGGCTTCTCCTCCCAGCAACCTGCCAGGACCACAGGAGGAAGAGCTGCACTCCCAAATAACAGGGCACAAAGTTCATGTCACTTCGGGTCAGACACCTCCCTGTAGGGAGGGCCACATTTGCTCTGTGCCAGGTACACAGGTGTTTTCTGCACATTAGCTCACTCGCTCTCCCAGCCACCCTCTGAGGTAGGGGTTATCACTACCCGGCAGGGGAAGCTAGGTGGCTGGTCCAAAGTCTCCCGACTAGCAGTGGAGCTGGACACACACCAGACGGGCTCAGGGTCTATGCTTGGAAGCACTGCACGCACTGCGATGTAGAGACCAGGAGACCTCGGGGCACCTCGAGGAAATTCAACATAGAAGGAGATTTGGGGATGACTGGGTCTTTCCCATCACCTACCAAGGATCGCTCATGGAGGCCTACTGTCCTAGGGACCCTGGCCCCCCAGTTCCAGCTCAGTATTTCTTCCTCACGTTCTGCCAGATGGATGAGGGCGGG